CCTTTAATACCTCAGATAGATAACCTTGCTATCGGTCTGATGTTCGATAAAAGAGCGGGCGAAGGTATTTTAGCAAGAGAGGTGATGAGAGACCGTTTCCAGGAGGTCGAAAAAACGCCGCACAATAATGACCTATTAACAAGATGCGTAAGAGACGAGAGACAAGTAGAAGAGACGAGTTTAAGCATCTTGACAGACAAACCATCGGGACCGAATGTTCTGGATGGGGATGAGTTTAGTGCATCCATAACCTCCTGGCTAGTAACCTCATAAAATTTGAATGGAGAGTGGGCGTGAGGAACATTTGGGGGACTCGCTAAAAGGGCGTCAAAAAAGTCACATGTCATGGGAGGAGACGAGTTTACTATATTGGCAAAGTGGGTATTTAGTACGGCTGGGGGAAAAATGGAAACGGGGATGGAAGAGCACGCTTAGTGACTCCCAAGTTTCGTAACTCGCTCCATCTGACCTTACTGGTGCTTGCAGAGGACAGTCTGCTTGAGATGCAAGAATTTTTTGCTGAGTCGAGGGCATTTGAGACGTCATTACGAAGTCTTCGATACCCAGCGACGTCACTGACCTAGCGGGAGGAGAATGCCAGTTTATAGGCAGCGTCACGCCTTTTCATGAGAGCGAGAGTGCTCGGCGTCACGCAGGATTTATGCCTAGAAGACAACTTAATGCACCTGAGAGTGGCTACCTCGTCGAAGGACTTTATAAGGACTTCAGTAAGAGAGTGCACCGCGTTGTCAAAGGAATGCAGGTCAACATCGATCGACGGATCCGAAGAGCGCTTCAGTCGTGATGGAGATTTGCCAGACACGAGAGAAGACTGCGAAGGGTCTCATTTAAGGCCGCCTCGTCTACTCGATTTAAACCGCGGGACCTAATGACTCTGGTGACGTGCTTGTTCGTGGTGAAACGATAGGTGAGCGAGATGAATTGGATGGCATCGGGGTCTTTCACTATGAAGAGGTTAAGAGTAGTATGGGAAGGGGGATTTATATCAAGACAGTGATGTGTGGGATCAATGGATACGATGTGGAGGTTGTGTAGGTCAACGAGAGATCTCAAAGCAAGATGAAGTAAAATAAAAATAAAATAAAAATAAAATTAAAATAGCCATCGCGATGACTAAATGCAAGAACAGATTAAGTTAAGAGATGTGATGCGGCGAAGAAATAACACCGGCAGTGAGGAGTCTCTCCGAGTAGATTGAAATAAGTGGATTAACGGTAAAAATTGTTGATATAGGTACCTAGCAGCAAAAATTTTTTGGAAGTGTTGCAATCGGTAAGGTGTGTAGTGTGTAGTATGTTGAGTGTAGTGGTCCTGGTGTGGAGGCTGTGTAGTTATTAGCGTTGTTAGCAGAGATGTGTAGCTCAAAACTCGTTATAGTTGGAAATTTGATGAAGGTTACGTTGGCAAGCCAACCAGGCAAGCGAATAATTCATCCACTGGCCAAAAAATTGACTAAAAGCCAAGAATTTTTAGCAGGAAGCGCTGTGGTCAGCTCGATGAACTCGCCTGCAAAAATATGTCGCTCGAGGAAGTGGCAAAAAATAAGAAAATGTTAACAACTGAAGAGCGCCTCGAAAACCAGTGTGTCGCTACTCACCGAGAGAGAGAGAGAGAGAGAGAGAGAGAGAGAGAGAGAGAGAATCCAAAACTTTGCTGCGAAAACTAACGCTTGGCGCGAATACAAAAAAAAATTGCGATAGACTAAATACCTTCGCTAGTAGCATAAAAAGAGAGGTGCACCTATCCTGCAGTGCAATTCCGGTGATCAGCCTTAGTTGTTTTTCCAGCGAAACCGCTCAGCGAAAGGTACTCCTGTGGAACCAGCTGTGCTGCCTCACTCGAAAGATCCGATAATTTAGTTGCTGCCGGTTTAGTTGCTGCTGCTTTTGATTGCTTCCTCGCTAACACATTCACACGTATCCAAAATCCTAGGAAAACTTTTTGTAGAAAAACGATAAAACACTGAGCAAACTAATTGGCAGTACTTTCGCAAGTAATAGCTGAGGCTTAACAGAACACTTTGAGCTCTCACGCACCCCCTCTCCCTCTTAATCGTTCGCTCTAACATCGCGAACGGATCGATTGATCGAATAGACTACCATTGCACTCTTCATAATAACACAAAGAGTGTGTAAATAAATTTGTCGAAAACTAAGTGAGGAAAACTCCTTTGAATTCATTAACGCCTTCCTTTAATAAAAAAAATTTATGGTTTTCTTTTTTTAAGATTCAATTTTTAACGAGAATCACTCTATACTGTCTGAATATTCCTTTAAGTGATACGTTTACTCACAGAAAATGATAGTACAACGTTAGTACTACGTTTAAAAAAAAAAATTATATTCCAGAAATTAAAAAAAATAATTCTTTAAAATGTGCTCACGGACGTAAAATGATTCTAAGAAATCTCTAAAATACATCCGTCGCCATAAGTAGTCTCTCAAAAAAAATTATTTTTCTTTCAAGTCTAACAGCCGATTTTTTATAGGAATCGACAAGTACATTCCGAAATTGAACAAATAGATAGAAATAAGTCACAAGATCATATATATAAATAATATTTGCGTGAATTTTTGTAAAATTTACGCATCACAACTAGCGAGAACGCGTAATGTTATCCGATATTATTAACAGCAAACAGGTGTTAACCCGGTGACCCAACCGAGGGTGTAGACCATTCGCGACGAAAATTAATATCATCGTCTAGCTGCTAAAAAAATCTGTCGGAACGATGAATACAACGTTTATCGAGTTGTACGGGGATTGGATTCTATTCGACTGTCATCGGAATATGTGTGCTACCGTTCTATAATTGCCGCCGTGAGTTGTATTTCCTTATGAGCTGCCGGAACCCGAAAAGACAATAGAGATTTGTCTCTAATGCTTCTTGGCATAATAGAAAGAGCGCTTAGTAGTTCATTTCAACCATTCTATCAGTGTGAAGAGCTGTTGTTACAAGTAAAGCTCGGTAATGTTTATTATCATCTGTGCGACCGAATATACCTATCGCCAAGGAGAATAATCGGAAATATTCGCTATCGACTCTGCTGGTGAACAGAGTGTCTGCTGAAAAAAATAATAAAGCGAGATGCGCTGCCAACTGTACAGGTGACTGCCTCTAAACCTCATTTCACTACACTTCTGCTAAATCAGGAAGTTTACGAAAACAACACTGCACGCCCTATCATACATAGCGAAAAGAAATTCAAGCCGAGAATAGCGACAGCGAGCGGCAAAAGGTATCGTTGCCGCCGGGGCTGCAAGAACATAGAGTCACACAGTTGTCACTGTGATCATCATTACGGTCGGCCTAGATTTTCTCTCTCTCTCTCTTTCTCTCTCTCTCTGTCTCTTTCTTTATCTATGCCTATAAATTAACTTGATTTTTTAATTTTAGATATCGAAAAATGTTTTCAAAGATAAAAAATGACACGGTAGTCCCTCTATTAACCCTAGAACGGGAACGCAATTTCAACTCCGTTGAGTTTGTACAGTAGTGCTCAAAATTATAAAACACCCCTGATTTCGCTTTATTTTATTTAGGATTTTTAAGCTTTACAGAGCCTTAGAGGTTTTAATTTTCTAGTAGTCATTCCCAATATTTTTTTAATAAAAATTGGTGTTTTTCTAAACAAAAAAACGTCAATCCGATGTAAGTTTGATTTACAACAAAATGTTCATGCAGATTTGAATTTAAAAAGTAATATTTTTTGAAACAATGAAGTATCGTCAATTTCGTTGCACTTAAAACACTCTACAAATGTTGTATCAGTATATGACGGCATGATTCTTTTTTCCTCATATTTTCTTAACTTTCAGCTTCAACTGATGAAAATTTCAAATTGCTATGTATAAAACTGTTCAGACCACATAAAAGTAACGTCTAATTTTCATATTTGAAAATCGCTAATTTTATTGCATTTAAGGCCAATTTTTTTCAAATACCCCAGTTATTTTTAAATTTACTGCACACAAATTGCAGGAAAATACATTTTCTATTCGTATTAAACCAATTGGTTTTGAAACAAAAATATTATAGATATTCCAAAATTTTCTTTACATTTTTATAAGATTTTCGCAATGCTTGGGTATTATAAAGAGGAAACGTCATAGAATGCTACCGTCAGATCCTTGTAGATCACGTCGTGCTTCACCTTTCGACAAAAGTGAGGTCATTCTTATAACAATATATCTGATATTGTTACATAGCTATTCTATTTCCTTCAATAAATTTAATTGAAAATGACGTTTCCTCTTTATAATACCCAAGGATTGCTAAAATCTTACAAAAATGTAAAGAAAGTTTTGGAATATCTATAATATTTTTGTTTCAAAACCAATTGGCTTAAAACGAATAGAAAATGTATTTTCCTGCAAATTGTGTGCAGTAAATTTAAAAATAACTGGGGTATTTGAAAAAAATTGGCCTTAAATGCAATAAAATTCATGATTTTCAAATATGAAAATTAGACGTTATTTTTATGTGGTTTAAATAATTTTATAATTAGCCATTTGAAATTTTCATCAGTTGAAGCTGAAAGTTGAAAAAATACGAAGAAAAAAGAATCATGCCGTCATACTCGTATACTGATACAACATTTGTCGAGCGTTTTAGGTGCAACGAAATCCACGATATTTCATTGTTTCAAAAAATATTACTTTTTAAATTCAAATCTGCATGAAAATTTTGTAGTGAATCAAACCTACATCGAAGTGACGTTTTTTTGTTTAGAAAAACACCAATTTTTATTAAAAAAAATATCGGGAATTCAAACCTTCAAAGCTCTTTAAAGCTTAAAAATCCTAAATAAAATAAAGCAAAATCAGGGGTGCCTTATAATTTTGAGCACTACTGTATAGTGAAAAAATTTACTTCTCACGAATTCTTGAAATAAATTTTTTACTAATATTCAAAAATTAAAACCATTATTTTTCCAAACAAAAGCCACAGTGATGATTATTTACAAAATTATACTTACAATGCCAATGAACAGTTTTGACAAAATGGTTTATTACAATCTGAACACTGTACTAAACACAACAAGCACATGATTTGATCGCAAAAATAACATCTGGATAATTCATCTGCACTAATAATACGACAACATCCGCATAGATCTAGAATAGTCTGGAAATAAAATAATAAATTTTATAATATTATTTTACTCACTCTTATGAAAACAATGGCTTTGTTCCATTTGAAGAACAATAGAAAAGAATAGAATGAAACAATAAGACCCAATTGGAGTATATGAATATATTGATCAGACAGGTCAACAGTTAGACGCATTTCTATTTATTAATAGCTCAATTAATTTCTTATCACAAATTTTAAATAAAGAATTAAAAACATGTATTTCAAAATCTTTGTCTTATATTAATAATAGCTTACAACTAAAAAATAAATAAATTCACTAATTATTACAAATGGTTATATTCTAGTTTTGCTGGATGTATCTTCATTGTTTATGAATATTCCAAGAAATAACTATTAAAAGTTTAGATAAACATTTCTAACAAACTTTAATACTAAGATATCGTTTATTAACATTATTGATAGTGTTAAATTTTTGTTAGACGACTTGATGTTTTTCTAATTTAACAACGTTATTCACCAGCAATTTAATTAAAGAACCAACACTAATAGATTCTTTAATTTCTCCGCTGTTTGCGGATATAATGATGAAAGGCTGTATAATGGCAATGAGAGAGAAGAAAGAAGACATAAAGGTGAAATGGAAGAAAGGCAAGAGGTAGTGATAGGGAAAATAGAGATAGAGAAAAATGGATGAAATAAGAGACAAGATAATGATAATAAAAGGGGACTTCAATGTGAAAACGGGAAAGCAAGACAGAAGGTAGGAACAAGAAAAAGGATGAGGTAGAGGTAAAAGATAAAATATATAGTAGAATTTTCAGATCCAACATTTTTCAAACGATCATATATCCGGTGAAAAAATGATAGAATTAATTTTAAATAGTGCTTTTGGTAGCCCAAAAATAGCCCTTTTAGGAACTGTGATCAGAATTGCCCAGAAAAAATTCTTTGTAATGTTACAGGTGGACAAATATAGTAAAAAAGCGTGTTTTTAGGTTAAGATATCTAGAAAACCAAGGGTGATAGAGCAATTTCCAGCCCAAAATTGGAATCAGAGTATGAAAATATATCAAGTATACTACGTCTGATTTCAGGTTCTGAAAATTATTGGCCTGTGTAATTGACACGAGAAATTGAAGTAGATAGATTGGAGAGAAAAGTTAAGAGGATGGAGAAATATTGAAAAGAGGAAATTGAGGAAGAGAATAAGAAAGATTGAGGGTTCCAACTCGTTTCACATCCCCCCTATTCTCCAGACTTAGCTCCGTCGGAACACTACGAGGGTGGTCCGATAAGTACTTAGCTTACAAAAGAAAAACGAAAATTTTGGAAAAGTGGCGTTTTATTTTTCAACATAGTCATCTTTTAGTTCAATACATTTGGCCCAGCGATGCTCCAACTTCTTTAACCCGTCTGAAAAATACGTTTCCTCGAGGTCTGAAAAGTAGGCTTCCGTGGCAGCGATTACCTCCTCATTCGCCTCAAATTTCTGCACGGCGAGTGACTTTTTCAAGTTTGGAAACAAAAAGAAGGCTCACGGGGCTAAATCTGGAGAATACGGTGGATGGGGTAGCAGTTCGTAGCCTAATTCAACCAATTTGGCCATGGCGACGGCGGAGGTATGAGCCGGTGCGTTTTCATGGTGGAAGAGCACTTTTTTCTCCGCCAAATGGGGCCGTTTTTTCTGCAATTTGACGTCGAATCGGCCCAATAATTCGGCATAGTACAGCCCTGTGACCGTTTTGCCCCTCTCCAGGTAGTCGATGTAGATCACACCTTGTGAATCCTAGAAAACGGTGGCCATCACCTTTCCGGGCGATGGGGCAGTCTTCGTCGTCTTCGGAGCACTTTCGCCGGGTAAAGTCCACTGTTTCAACTGTTCCTTGGTCTCTGGTGTATACCAGTGGATCCATGTTTCGTCGACTGTCACGAAACAACGCAGAAACTCCTTCGGATTACGCTTAAACAGCGTCAGACATTGCTCTGAAGTTGTCTCACGGTTGCGCTTGTTGTCCGGAGTGAGCAAACGCGGTACCCATCGCGCCGATAGCTTTCTCATGCCCAAAATTTCATGCAGGACATGACCCACGCGCTCTTTTGAGATGCCTACGATCTTAGCTATCTCGCGCACCTTCAATCGTCGATCTGCCAATACGAGATCGTGAATTTTTGTCACGTTATCCTCCGTGGTAGCCGTTTTCGGAGCACCTGGACGTGGCTCTTCAAAAATCGACGTGCGACCACGTTGAAACTCGCTAAACCAATTTTTGACACTCGTCATCGAAGGAGAAGAGTCACCGTACACAGCATCCAAGCGCTTTTTGATTTCGCTGTGCGATTTTCCTTCCAAAAACAAGAATCGAATCACCGACCGATACTGCTCTTTTTCCATTTTTCAAAAATCAACGGACACACTTGCTTTCAGACGCTCTCAAAAATAAACTACAACTCCGATCCGGCTGAAATCTTGACATTAACCATCGAGAAGGTTGTACTACGTGATAGAATATTTCTTTTGCGAGAGTGGCGTCATCGGGCGGTGAGGCTAAGTACTTATTGGACCACCCTCGTATTTGTTCCCTAATATGAAAAAATGGCTGGCGGGGAAAAGATTTTATTCAAACGAGAAGGTGATTGCAGAAACGAATGCCTATTTTACAGACTTGGACCAATCCTATTATTTGTAAGGGATTAACAAACTAGAGCAGCGTTGGATGAAGTGTATAAGCCTAAAAGGAGACTATGTTGAAAAATAAAAAAGATTTATTAAAAAAAATCAAGCAGTTTTTATTTTTGCACAGACTTTTCAAACGATCCTCGTATTAAAAATTTCTCTACTAATGAATTTTTATCATTTGAATAATATATATCTATCGATTCATATAGCTTTTTGTTATAATATTATTTATTTCAATCAATAATTCTATCATGTTCGGTTCGCGTTCGAATTGTTCATGCCTTTTGCGTTCTATTTAATGTGACACGCATGGTAGTTCGAGTAACATTTAGCTATCGAACGTTTTTCGAAAGTTTCGTTTCCTTCTTCAGGTCTCATCACCGAACGTTTTCGGAAATGTACAATAAATATTAATTGAAAGTTTCAATTCGGACTCAAGTTATTTTCAACTACTTTGCAAGTCACTTGCCTCATCTCGTCAATTTTAATCCTATAAAACTGTTACTTTTTAAAAAACTATCGTATTAATTTAAACAGCTCATTAGCTCATTACATAAATGTGCATTGTTTCCTTATGGAATAGGTGAAAATCATTTCCGAAGTGATTTGCGGCGTAGAAACCGAGTTCATGCTCAGAATTGCTCCATCACATCAGGCCTTTGAATAACCCTAACCTAAGAGTGCAAAAATTACGGTTTTCCACTATATTTGAGCACTAATAACTTCGTGAATTTTCATTATATTCCAAATCTGACAAAATCATCAAACAGTACAATTTTTCAGCCTTTCATTTCACTATTACATTTATAATTTTTCTAACCGGAGATATTGAATAAAAAATTACAAATTTTGCAAAAGTTAATATATGAAGAAAAATAATAATCGACCGTGAAATTTTGTTTTTCATTTTTATATTTGATGAGAGTATAGCAGAGTGTTATCTCCCTCCCCCCTTCAATAAAGATTCAACGTAAATAATATTATACTATAAGTATATAAGTATAAAGTATAAAGTATATACACGGTGACCCATTTTAATCGCTACACCTGGATTTTTCGAATTCCAAGACAGATAAGAAAAAATGGTTCAGACAAAAGTTGTAGGGGACGAAGGGGGCCAAACAATGGTCCTAACAAATTTGACCTTGAACTTGACATTCAAGGTTATTTCAAGGTCAAGTGGTTTTTTTGAATAGGAACACCTATTTTTGACCCCGGATTCGGAAATAACGGAAAATTTCACGTTCAAAACCATATTGAGACATTTTTTTCACAGTCATTTCAAGGTCAAATCAAGGTCAAACTCCGAAAAATCCATTTTAAGTCGTTTTTCCACGAGTCACAGGCTTAAGTGGTTCAAACTAATCGTAGATTTAGTTACATCACTTAATTAAAGTAAGTCCCTTCACCTCACACTGTACGGCGTGCTTGATTTAAGTGAGTCCCTTCGCCCCTACCTTGAAATACTGATTTCCGATTGTCGCACCACGATAATTACTTCAGCTTCCTCCTAAAAGTAACGTCGTGTCAATAATCTTTTTAGGCTGATAGTCAACCATTTAAGAGCTAGCCATTAATTACTATTAAATTTAAATAGTAAAATGGTATCAAAAATATTAATAATTATAATATTCGCCTGTATGTGGTTGCGACTAAAAAAGAAAAACGTTTGTCACACTTTATTAATTGTAAATTTTATAAAAAACTAATTTGATGCTTTTTGTAAAAAACAGAAATGATGTATCTTTATTTATTTTTTCGAAAGTTATGAGAAAATTGAAGATATGAGCTGTAAATAATGTGATTGTTTAAAAAGAATAGTCATAACTTTCGAAACAATAAATATGCAACATTTCTTTTTTGTACAAAAAGCATCCAAGCTATTTTTTCTAGAATCAAACTATCAAAAATAAAGTTTAATATTAAAAATGTGCGGAAAATATTAAAATCGGTCAGCAGTTCAGATATTATTACAAGAATCTTTGACTGAACAGAATTTATTTGTAAATGTGCTTTTAATGATTACATTATCAATATTAGTATTTTTTAAGTTTGAACGGAAATAATTCACAATATTTAAAATAAAAGCAAGTTTTATTATTATGTGCAATTCAAATTAGAAATAATTTAATGATTATTACTTTATTATAAAACTTACAATTACAAAAGTGTGACAATCGGAACACTTGTGGCAAATACACTTAGTCAGATAAAGTTACCGTAATCTAGGAACATTTTTCTTTTTTGGTCGCGACCGTATACGGGTGAATATTATAATTATTATTTTTTATACCATTTAATAATAATTAATAGCTGCCTCTGAAATGGCTGACTACGCGCCCAACGAGATCGT